CTGACACCGAGGGAGTCCGTATCCGGGGGCGACGCACCTGACTGATTTGGGATCTGACGCTTGACGGCCGCATTTCCAACGGCCACCTGCCACCGTCACCTGTCACCACTGCCTCCAGTTATAGAGACGGCTCCGACAAAAGGAGCAGTGACAGTTCTGCCCCAGCAGAGGCGATGACGCCCGGACTGGCAGAAGCACGGAAACACTCATTCCCGACCTGACAGGAGTCTAGGAGTGAGTGCGCGAGGTGGTTATAAAAGGCACTCCACCCTCAAAGAGGAGGTATGCAAACCCTTGCGCTATCTGGTTTATCTTGCCTTTGAAAGATCCTAACTTAAGCTTCGGAGCCTTTACACCGGGTTCTCCCCGGAGCTTCTTCGTCTCCTACGTTTCAGGTCCCCGCTACTCGATTCAGAGGCAAGGTCATTGACAGCTAAGACCGGCCGGATTGCGCTTCATCACATACCAGTAGGAAAATTGTCCTAACGTACTGCAGGCCAGTAGGAAATGAGAAGTCATTAAGGGCAGTTTTATTTCTTTTACATGTTCTGAAGTTGGCCTTTTCATCAGGGTGAGAGAGTTTGGAAGTGGAAGGTGGCTGTAGGATGGTTATCGAGTGGATGAATGTAAATTCTGAAAGTCCTTGGGTATTGCTTTACCATATTAGAGCATCTAAGTTATTTGCAATGAAGTTGAACATCTTGTTCATGTAGGCTCCAAGATTTGACACTCGTATTGCTGACTTGCAAGGTGTAAATGGAACAAAACTTGAATGGGGTGCTCCTGGGATAGGTTTCTGGCAAGAGGTTTAATTAGCCTTTCTTTGTAGAAAGCTTATAATGTTTGTTACTCATTAGAAAAAAAAAGAAGAAGAATCTTCAAATTGTTGAATTAATTCATTCCTTTAGGTCTTTTTGATGTTTGAAACAGTCATTTCTTCAGTTTGCCTATTGAATCTATATTAAGTGTCTTTGTTCTTTTGTACAACAGTAAACTTGTATTGATATGTTAAAAAAGATATAATGACATACAATTTATGTCCATGTACAATGGGGAGCCATATGTGATGTGATCAAGAATTGTAGAGGAAGTAATAACAATTAGTACGATTTATATGCAAGGATTTGAACTCAAAAAGGAAAAGGGGCTACTTCTCTGAGTTTTTGTGGATGGCCAGCGTATTTTCCATCTTGCCTGTTATATCCAATCAACTCCTTGATTTTGCGACTTCAGCATTTTGGTTACCAAGTCTTTTATTGCCCAATGTTACCATTTCTGTTCTAGCTGTTATTTGTTTGTACAGCCACTAGGTAATGTGTATTACTGTATTCTGCTTCTAATGTCATTTATTTATTTTCTACTTAATGGACTTCACAGGATGACACAAAACTCTATATCTTCCTTGAGCTTGTAACACAAGGTTCACTTGCAAAGCTCTATCAGAAGTATTGTTTGGGGGATTCCCAAGTTTCAGCATACACAAGGCAGATACTGAATGGTCTCAAGTATCTCCATGGTCAAAATGTCATTCACAGGTGATACAGCAGACCTGTTATGTTATTTTTTAACCATTCTTTTATTTCCCTTTTGTTACACTCATGTTCTCTCACTTATGTACTTTGTTGCTTAATTGTTGTTTACTTTTGCCAATATGTTGTACCTAGGTCTAACTGGCATTCTACAGTCACTTGCCAGGTTGCTCACCCTGGAAGTTGGCCTTGAAAATTATGTTGTTCTGTCCTAGATATCTATTTCTAGATGATCACACTTGTTATACACTACAGATACTCTAACAGGATTGTCTTGTTCTTTTTGTCCTTTTAATTTTTATCATTTTATTTATTTTTTTGATCAGCAGCATAGAAAAAGTTTCATTAATTATGAGAAAAACATGATTACAACAAGAGATTGTGAAATGACCCAGCTTTAGAAGCTGTCCCAGTTCAGTACTATATTTGATCCCAAAACATATGTGCTCTATGTACCCCTTGCTTGGCTAAGCTATCTGCCAAGCTATTAGCAGTCCTCCTCACCCATTTCACTCGGATTAACATGTCCTGTGACAGCCATTTGAATTTTCTGAAATCATTCCTCAAATGCCATGCCACCCCCTCCCCTTTTACCAGCCGCTTAACCACAGTTTTAGAGTCTCCCTCAATAATCAGCCTGCTAATACCCATTTCTTTTGCCTTCTCAACCCCAAAAACTGCAGCCAAAAACTCTGATCTTGCCACATCACCCTGTTTCACAAGGCCAGAGTATAAAGCAATTATGTTCCCCTCTTCTTCCGTAATGGCTCCCCCAATACCTGAGGGGCCTGGGTTACCCAAACAGCTCCCATCAAAATTCAGTTTCTTCCAACCATTTATTGGGGGAGACCAAAGCTCAACAGATCTTTGTTTTGTAGTTGAGGATGCAGCAAATGATACCCCAAGCTCTGAAGAAATTTTCAATCTTGAAATCCAAAAACAGCTTCAAACTTTTTGCCTAATGTGCTACTCTCAATTTTATAGTTTCAACCAATACTTCCTTACTTTGTTCCTTCTCAAATTTTTTATCATTTTATCTCTTGCTGGTTGGATAGTTCCATCATGCAGTTGCTAGAAAATAGAGAATACTATAGAGATTGAAATTGAATTGTTGGGAGAAAATTAGGACAGGTCCTGATAAGTCTGGTTGTGGTATGCGAAATGTTGAAGTGCAAGAGGGTTTGAGGCCAGTTGAAGATGCAGGGGAGGATACCGTTGAGGGAGTTGATTTGGTAGCCAGATCAGATGTTTCAAAAGAATTCAATTTTTGAGTTAGAAAGAATCAATGATAACCATGTGGCTTCAATCTTGCTGGGAAATATTCTAACGCAGTTAGAAGATTCAGATGGCAGAAAAGTAATCAGACACTGCAAGTATCAAAATTTTTTGCCAGGTTTATTTGGGTCTGACCAAAGAAGAGGGTGAAGAAGACCATGGTTTTTAAAAATGAACCGGTGACCGAACCGGTCAGGGGTCCGGTTACCGGTTCAAATGGTCCGACCGTTCGACCCAAACAGCCGGCCCGTTCTGACAAAAAATTAAAAAATTGGAAAACGGTCAAAACCATTCAAACGGTTAACCGACCGGTTCAGCGGTTTGCTGACCAAAATCAACGGTTTTGGGGAAAAAAGTGGTTTTGGGGGAAAACGGAACCAGTCAGGTGACCAATTTCCGGTTTTCCGGTCCGACCATCCGGTCCGGTCCGGTCTGGTTTTGAAAACCATGAAGACGACAATGAAAATCATACAGAAAAGGAAAGAGTTTTCTGCTTTAGATACTGGATTTGCTCTAAGGAAGTGGGTAGGTATATCCTGATGCTATTCCTGTTTGGAGTCGGGCTTTTGGGTGTTGGGTTTTCTTTTAGGGTTTAAGGCAGGTGTCAGGAAGATTGGATTGGCTTTGTAGTTTGTTTTGTGTTCTGGGGGCAATGCCCCTGGCCCACTTTCTTTCCCCCCTCTCTTTCCTTCCCTTCCCTTTTTTCTTTACTTTCTTTTGCCTTTTCTTTACTTCTTTTTCTCTCTTCCCTTTCTTTTCCTTTCCTTTCTTTTTTCTTTTTTTTGTCTTATATGAGGTGTATGTGAGGCACGTGAGGTGTACACTTCTAGCATGCCTCATGAAAAAGGCGTATGAGGCATACACCTCTTGCACCTGTTGCGTACACCTCAGAGGTATCAGCATCTCTGGCATACACTTCAGGGCGTTTTGAGCATATATGCCTCCAATGCCTTCTAAGACACTGATCATTAATTAATTTCTCTGTTATTAATAAAAAAGGAATGCAAGTTCTAACTTCTGATCTTATGACATGTTGATTTGGTTCAACTTAAGTAATATTCTTTCATTTTTGGGTCTTCAAGGGATATCAAATGTGCAAATATATTGGTGGATGCGAATGGATCAGTTAAGCTTGCTGATTTTGGATTAGCAAAGGTTTCATTCTTCCTCGTGATAGTGTCTCTTGTGTGTTTTCTATATATTCTTACACGAGCAGACTTCCCCCCTTTGTATATGGTATTAGTTCTCTTGTCTTACTTTGCTGGTTGTGCACCTTCTCAGTCAACCAAATTGAATGATGTGAAATCATGCAAAGGGACTGCATTCTGGATGGCGCCTGAGGTCTGCATATTCTCTTTAAACTATGTTTATTAAGTTCTAATTACTTGGTTTGACACATTAAAGCAATAACTATCCCTTGTTAATCTGATGCATTGAAGCAATAATAATCCCAATTTTGCAAGTCCTTATATGTTGAAATGCTGGTTTGTAAAACAATATAGAGAGAACCAGTGTCAGTTCAGTATCTCTGACATAGTCTACTATTTCTGTATATTTGCATTTTATGTATATATTATCTTTTTTGATCCTTCACTTATTTTTCATAAAAGTTTACCCTAAAGGGTATATACAAGTATAACTACTCATAAAAAAGGGTATATAAATATAACTTAGAAAATATTAATAATATAAATAATCTTTTTTTTGGGCGAATTTTTTACAGTGGGACACCGTATTCATTTTCTTGTGTGTATGAATCCAAATGGAACCTTTCTACTCAGGTCTAGAATTGAAAGGTTGTCTACTTATCTCAATTGTATTGGTTGCGATATTTGAGAATCAAAGTAGCGAAAACTGACAGAAAATAGAAGTGATTTGTATAGGGTGTCTAGGGCTGTCAACGGGTTGGGTCCAGGTAGAACTGGAACCGACCTGACAAGAAATACTGATGACCTGGAACCGAACCAGACCCAATAGGGTCTATTATTTTAGACCCAAAACTGAACTGATTGGTTCTCAAGACAATCGGGTCTGATCCGATGGATCCGGTTATAATAAACTTGCTGAAAATATTATATATTATATTAATTATTTAATATTGTATTATAGACCTCGGGTTGGGTCTGAGTTGGTTTGGGACTGGGTAGAACTGGTTTTGAACTGATAATAATCGGGACAATGTATAAGGAGCCGGAACCGACCCATCGGTTCCAGTTCCTGGAATCAGAACCAACTCAATCGGTTTGGATCCATTGGGTCGGGCCCAACCCCATTGACAGTCCTAAGGCTGTGTTCTTTCTCACTTAACATGCTCCTATTATTAGCATTTATATGAGATTGAGAAATTACAAATATTCCCATAGTTAGCTGTCTTCTTACTATATTAATTATAAAGACATAAATGCCCCTGAATATATGAATGCATCTCTTAACACTAGGGATGTCAATGGGTCGGGTTAAATGGTAAACCCACACTGACCCAACCCTATTGGGTTAGGGTTGGGTTGGCCTTAATCGGGTTTTAGGTTGTGTCAGTGATTTAAAAGGCGTGCCTAAGCACACAGGCAAGGCACATTTTAGGGTATGCGCCTCACCCAGGTCCTAGGCACACCCCTTTCAAAAGGAGCACAACTGGTGTGCCTAGGCATGCGCTGATGTACCTTGCGCCTCCAGGTGTGTGCCTTTTTAAAATTCTGCACTTTTTGCTTTTTTTTTGAGCCTAACAGCTGGGCTGTGGGGCTCTGCCCCCGGACCCCCGACCACGCCCCTCAAGGCAATCCCAAACAAGTCCATGCTAGGGTCTTAAATTCTTATTTTTTACATAAAAATCAATGATTTTATAACTTTAATTGCCTTTTAAGAAGATATTATATTGGAATGAAAACATTAGCAAATAGGGGCGAGGCACATTTGCTATGCCCATATTTAGCTGCTCCCTTACTAGATTAATTACAAAGACATAAGTACCCTTGCATGCATGAATCCATTTTTAACAGTATTGTACTTGAATGAGTTATATCAGTTGATGTCAGAATCATAGTTTAAAATTTTGATACGCCCCTGTGTATCGGCAGGGGCGTATTGGTACTTGATTTAATGCGTTTTTATATTTTTTTAGTTTTTATTTTCAAAATTTGGTTTTTGGGCATATTTTTTATTAAAAAAAAGAGTGGTTCCCGAATCCTCTTTAAAAGGGCATATTGTGAAGCCACTGATATGATACAATACGTCTGATATGAGGCGTATCGTATCAAAATTCTGAACCTTGATCAGAATAATATTACTAAGTAAAGTTATTTTTTGTTCTTTATAATTTATATGCTGAGACGCTGTAAAACATTGTTTAATGATCAAAACAAGCAAACACATTGTAGTGCTGCTGGGAAAGAAGGGGAATTAGAATTTGACACTTCTGGAAATCCAATTTGGGGGGCTTTTCATGGGATTGAATGCTCCAATGATGTGCATTTTCTGTTATGTGCTTCTGATTATGAAGTTTTGCAATTTTAGGTTGTTAAGAGTAGTGGCTATGGACTTCCAGCTGACATATGGAGCCTTGGTTGCACTGTCTTAGAGATGTTAACTGGTCAGCTTCCTTACTCCAGTTTGGAATGGGTAAGTGACATTTTTTTTAATTGTATTCATGCATGGTAATTCTTTCATTGTTCTTCCTTTTCTTTTTTTCCTTTTCTTCCAGGTTACTTGCCATCTCCCTTCCTGTTTTTATGTTGATCTGGATTCTTTTTTATTTGTTCTAGTGTAAGAAACTTGGATGAACTTAGTTCCTCAAAATTGTTTGGTTCTAAGTTATTTTTGAATTTACATATATATATTTAGAAACTTGGTTGTTTATTCTTTGTGATAGAGTGCTATTAGCAGTGGTGAGATGAAGAAAGAGAGGAGAGAGAGATACGTGAGGGGAAAGAATAAAAAGTAGGAATTTTGTCATTCTATTGTGTATGTATTAGATTACTATTGGAACAAAATTATTTATTGTATTTTTCAATATGCTGATTATTATTAATCACTAATAATGAGATGCTTTTCCTAACTATCTGTGGAGATGAGACTACAGTAATTCAGTGGACCTGTTTGTACCTTATTATTTAGTGTATTTCAGTGTTTTAAAAGGCGTGGGAGGCATACACTTGGAGACGTGCCTCTAGGCAAGGTGCCCCCAAAACACCTTGAGGTGTAGGCCAAAGGCGTTGACACCTTTGAGGCATATGCCTCAAGTAGAGGTGTATGCCTCATACGGCCTTTTCATGAGGTGTGCTAGAGGTGTACGCCTCATGCACACCTCATATAAAAAGACAAAAAAAAAAGAACGAAAAAAGAAAAAAAGGAAAGGAACAGAAAAGAAAGGGAAGGGAAGAATAGATGAGGGGAAAGAAAGTGGGCCCCCCCCCATTTCAATGCAGCCCATTATGGTTATTTTTTGTTAGGGGGGTCTTGCCGCAGAGGCGAGCAGCTTGCTTGCTTCGCTCACTCGCCTCCGCTTCGACAAGACCCCCCGCCCTTTCAACTAGAGCAGTGCTATGCATCTTCATGCTTTTTAAGATAAAAGATTTTATTAAAAATGAAGAAAAATGAGATCCTCCTTCCTCTTCTCCTTCCTTATCCTTTCTTCTCATCCCCCTCCTCTTAAGGAGGCTTACGCCTCTTACATTCTTAACTATGCCTCATGCCTCTAGGTAGTGGAACACCTCGCGTCACGCCTCTATGTTTTAAAATATTGGTTTATTTTTCTTCTTCTTTTTCTTTTTTTTTTGAGAAAAGAAAGAGGAAAGTAACTAACTTATGGGTCATCTTCTTAAGTTGGGGGTAAACCTATATTTCTATTTAAAAATTGAGGTGGAAGTACAGATACACATAAAGGATAATTGAGTCATTTGTGGAAGAACTGGAGGTCAGATTCCAGTGGGTCCCTGCTCCCTAGAAGTGCCAACAGCTTGGCTGATGGTTTAGCTAGGCAAGGGGTAAATAGATCTAAAATGTTTTGGGGAGAGGCTTCATGGGGAACTTGATGTAAAATCAGTGACGGCTTAGCTAGGCCTAGGCAAGGTGGAAAACCCAATATATGGAGCTTTTAGACCAAGAAAGGGAGTTTATAGGTCTTGAATCTCTTACCTATTCTGTTCCTTCTGTACTATTTCTTCCTCTCTTTCTCCTCTTTGCCTCTCCACTTTTATCGTGACATCTTCATCCTTTCTTGTGAAACAGATAACATTTAAATAAAAAAGACTGCTTGTAGCCTAGTTAAATCTAATTTGAATGATTGCAGTTGTCAAAAATCAACTTCCTACAGAATATGGGAAGAAGAGGCAGAACTCTAGAATGTTGACTCCTCCCAATGTTCTTCCCAATCTACAGTGACAAAAGCCTATCCAATTGTGAGCATATAGGGTTTTCTTGAAAATTGCATAGGGATCTCATTCAATTCAGTCACTAATAAACTGAATGAAGTTTATCGTGGTAGTGGTTATTTGATGACTGGATTTTTTGGTTTCATGGGAAAATCTAACTACTTCAAAATCCCCACCTATACACTAATGTCCTTCCAACAGTTCTTTAATTGCATATAGTTTCCCCCATCTTCTCATCTTTACTCGATTTCTTTTAGGAATCTGAGATGAATTCTTGTTATAATTCACATATAAGAATTCTGAGATCATTGTGCAACCTAATTATTTTCCCTAAGAAAGTAAAACTTTAGTTCAGTTAAAAATTCAGTTGTATTTCTGTTGTCAGGTGGACTTGGTATCAGCTTTGATAATGTGAAAAGTTCCTAATGAGTTGCTTTTCTGTAGTGGGAGATATTCTAAAACCCAAAGAACTCCATCTTGGAATGCCATCGACTTGAATTCTTGTGATTAACTCGGCTCATTCCAAACTGGTTGAATCAAGTGTTGGCTTGAATTATAATCTGGTTGAATCAAGTTGGTTAGGCCAAGTTACTGGTGATTTATTGATTTTTGAAATGTAAAAAAAAAGTCCATGCATGTTGTGTGTCTGCATGTGGGAGAGTAACAATTTTTGGCCTGCTATGTGCCTTTTAACTTTGAAGGTGAGCATCTTACTAATGTTTCTCCACTTGAGTGCCAAGGTGAGAATCAGGGACTTGCCAATCGAAAAAAAAAAGAAAGAAATAGGGACTCCTTTGGCAAGTCTCAATGGCTTCCTAAAGCTAGATGCCCGATTGGTCTTAACCTAAGTTGCATCTCTACCAAAGGCTGACAGGTTACACTAACCATTGTTTCTGGTTTTGTTATAGCTGTTCCATGTTAATTCCATGTGTTATTGAACATCTTTTAGCCAAGTCTATATGTTGAGTGCTTATGGGGGAATTAATATCTTGTCCCATTAATAGAAATGGTGTGCTGCTCCTTCATGTCTTGGTTTGGTATTCTGACAGCCATTTCTTTGCCTTTGACCACAGATGCAAGCACTATTTAGAATCGGCAGAGGTATACTCCCACCTGTACCTGATTCTCTATCTCCAGATGCACGGGATTTCATCTTCCGGTGCTTACAAGTTAACCCAAATCACCGTCCCACTGCTTCTGAGCTTTTAGAACATCAATTTGTGAAGAGACCACTTCTAGCTTCCTCTATCCCTCCATCTCCTTTGCATCCCAGTGCTAGACGGCCTTAGTGAAGTACAATGACATAGATACTTAATCTTATTCTGGTAGCAGTTACCGGAGATAAAGGTGGATGTTTACATTCCCAGACCTTGAAATGTACTGCTCAAAGCCTCAAACAGTGCAAGGCTTGCCTGTGGTGTTTCACTTGGCTCAGATGGATGCCGCAAGGAAATGTGAAAGTGGAATCCAGTAAATAATCTGGAAAACTAGATGGTTGAGCGCCTTCATTTTTTATGTATTGTTTTTCCTTGGGAAATTTTTGCATTGGAGAGGTATCTGTATTTTCATTTTCTTTTTGGGGTTAATTATTTATTGGAAGTGATTTGTTCGGTATTTGTGATTGCTATTTTATTTTCCAGCTTGATAGAGTTAGGTGGATTTGAGAAAAGATGAAATTTGTAAAGATTGGTTGTATAAATTGGAAGTCGGATGTGTATATATATTCTACCACTATCAAATATTTCACAAGAATTCCTTAATATGCTTCTATCTTGTGATATTGCCGTGAAGGTGAGAGTGCCTATGATTATCCATCGGGGGAATGCAAAAACCGAATTCATTGTTTTTAACCCGTCTTTAACCCAGACGGTGGGAGCGTTCAACCCATCACCTGAAGGAGAAAATGAGTTGGTCATACTCATCCAAAAGCTGTCAAATTCCAACAAACCCATTGATTTGGTCATTTAACTGTTGTATTCAAGTAGCAATTAGGGCTGTCAGCGGCTTCGAAAATTGGATTTTGAATTTGAGATCTGACATAAGCGAATCAAATTTGGATAATTTGATTCGATCGGATAAATATTCAAATTTAATTCTTATATATAAATTATAGAATATTTAAGTATTTAATTTTATTTATTTATATAATAATTAAGTTACATAAATAATTTATATATTTATTAATTATCTAAAATAATTAATTGGTCAAATTTAAATTGAATATTCAAATATTTAGTTAAATTTAAACATTGATTTTCAATATCCGTTAGATATCAAATTGAATTTAGATATTACTTGATTTGATTCGAATTTGATCCATTTTCTTCCATAATAATAATAGGGTGAGTATAAATTGCATATCCAGAATTTTTTATAATAGCTTTTTTTTTTTTAATTTGATAAATATACAAATGGATTTTATGGTTTCGTATCTTTCCAGTATCATATATTTTCGCTACCAAGCTAACCTGGTGGGCTTCGGGCTCGGTTGATGAACAATTTACATTGATTTGGGCAGAGGCCATTCAAATATTGTCGAAAGCTAAGTAGCTAACTCAACTCATACGCAGTTCATGAATAGGTCTGATCTGGATGTCGGCGGGGGTTGGTACAGTGGAATAGAGCTGGCAATGGATTGGGTCTATTTGCGAAAACCGAACCGACGAAATTGAGTTGTATCCTACTATAATTGAAGTGCAACCGTGTTTTGCTGTTTCGAATGTATTAAGACCCGATTTTTTTTTTTTTTGACGAGTATTAAGACCCGAATGGATTACGTAATTAATTTTATTAAGGTCTCTTTGTTTTTGTTTTTTTTTTTTTTTGTAATTTTTATTATGTTTATGTGCCTATAAGGGCTAAGTTTATAGACAATATATAAGAGAATCTTGATTAAAAACATTTATGCTTTGTCAACATATAAACAGTTTATTATTTAATATTATTTTAAGGTTATATTACCAAGAACGAAGTAATATCATATAGGTAACTACATATGTCAATTATGATTGAGTCTAATCGGAATTGGTTTGGTTTCGGTCTATTTTATAACCAATAAATAGTTGCGGGCCTCGTCTACCGTGTCAATCTCTAACTTGGTTACTAAACCATTGGTAAAGCTATCCTACTCCAACTTAAAAAAAGAACTGCTGGAATAGTGAGACACTTGAACCAGATGACTAAGAGGTAGAGCCGTAGAGATTATTCTGGTTTGTAAAACTCTAAACCTCATTTCTAGAGTGTTAGATTTACAAAAAATTGCAAGAAACAAGTGTGAATCGTAAATTATTTTTGAAGATTTTTCAAAATTTAAAAAAATATAACAAAAATTGATTAATTTTTTAAATTTTTTATAATATCTTGTGATTTCTTTTTTTCTGGAATGTTTAAATTTATATTGATCTACATTTCTTATATTCAAAATCACATTTTTTTATGTTATCAATAGACTTGTAGAAATTTCATAAAGATATTTGGGGCTACTTGTACCCCAAATTTTATAAAGATATTTGTGTTTTCAGTAGATTAAATTTATGCTAATCTATTCTGGTTTGTATCAAGAAAGGTATAAATGCTACTTGTGCCCGTTTGGGTTGAACATTTATTAGATTTTAAATGGGCCCAAATAGGTTTGGAGTAGTAGAAATATAAAGAGTATAAAAAATGCTTGCAGTTTTAGGAGATGTATCTGAATATGCTTTGAATGTATGTAGTGGCTACATTAACAATTGAATTTGACAAGGATTTTTACACATCAATGAATATCCTCCGGATACTACTAATCAAGGATTTGACATTCCATCAGTTGTTAGATTTCCTGACTTCCGAGCAAGCATGCATTATCTGAAAGACAACTCAAGAAAGTCAGTCCTATTGTCAAATTTCTAGGAAAAGAATCCACTTCTGTCTTATACAGAAATCTTGCTTGTGATTCTTGCTACACCTGATTTTAGCATGCTATACACTGTCATAACAATCGCATGCACAGTATTTGCTTTGTATTTTGGATCACTGCTCAATGTGTTAAAGGAGACGTGTTGGTGAGGAAGAAAATTTTTAAAGGCAGTGTTTTCGAACCGCAATTGATCTAGATGGTTGGACCGTTTCAGATAACTGGTTCCGTTTCACCCTCAAATCAGTCTTCAGCTAAATATCATTGGTTTAATTAGCAACCAGATGATCCAAATGATCAAACTGTTGACCCGTTTAATAATTTTTGACAGTTTTCTTATTTTAATTATTTTTTTATTTTTTTCAGTTAGAACAGACTATCCATTACTGTCAATCCAGAAAACTGATGGCCAAAATAATTCCCGATTCCAAATCGTTTATTAAAACCTTACTTAAAAGAAGCTAACGATATGCTTCCCAACTTCTGTCCAAGTTGTCTGCAGAGTTACGTGGAGAGTATAAATTAGGTTCACCCCAGTCGTCATCTTCTTCATCATCCTTATTGAATCCAAAGCTTATATTCAAGGTTTTGTTCTTGGCTGAGATTGCAATTGGTTGGCATTATTATTTTGAATGATATATAGTCATTGTTAAATCAACACATTACGTCTCTTATACAATACGTGATTGAAGCGGGGGCAATTTTAGTGACATAAACAAAAACAAAATGAAAAATGAAAGTTCTCTTGTCAGATGTTCTAACATTGAATTGTATTCAAATTTCCTTGATATATTAATTGAACGAACTGGTTGGGAATGGATTTCTGATTCATTTAGCCAGTACCAATAGTCTACAAAAAAGAAATCGAAAACCAAGGTGGGAAAGCGATGCTTGTCTACTGAAAAACCTTTTTTTTGTTATCTAAACAAAAAGAAAGATGGGGCATTGAGATATCAAGTAGGGAGCCCGTCAAAAACAAGCGACAACACCAAGGTGGGAAAGCGATGCTCGTCTACTGAAAAACCACAGAAATCGAAAACCAACAGAGCTCTTGTGTCACTTAACTGAGGATACAAACGTAATTAAGATTAAAAGGTTTTAGTTTGGAAAAGCTAAGGAAGCGAGACAAGAAGAAAAGGCAAACTCCATCTACTGAGTACTGAATGGCCAGTCGTGCTTGCTCAGAGATACAGATACCTGCAAATTCTTAAAACAATAAGCAAAGAAACAGTGTTCCTTTTTAATTAATTTACGGAAGATTTTTTCCTTACTAATGATTTTTATCAACTTCTATGTTTTCGGGTCAGTTAGGTTTTAAGAGAAAATGGAAAAGAAAAAAAAAATTGATCAGAAAGTTTAGCGAGGCATTTTGGTAATTTAACACCTTCCATCATCTGACTTAACGGACCAGGGGATATTTGTCGCAACACAAAGGTTGTTTTTGCCTCTCGGTCGTGGGTCACCAATTCAATTGTCTGGGTCAAACGGGTCAGACTGTCCCACTTGTATTTAAAGTGTGTGTATATATATATATATATATATATATATATATATATATATGTGTGTGTGTGTGTGTGTCTATAAATATCTATTTTATCAATAAATAATGTATAAATATGTTATATTATGTTATATGTATTTTTATATTTAATTTATGTTTTCTTAACTCAGTTTTTAATTTTTTATTTATGAAAATATTAAAATTGCAATTTGAGGCCAAAAAGAGGCATTTTTCGCAAAAGTAGTGATGAGAGGAGAATTTATCATATTTTTATCCCCAATTACTCTGTCTTTTATACTAAATTAGTACATAATTGGACTTATATTTATGTTCAGGGCATGAAAGAAAGCATCGAGAGCAAAGAAAGACAAATCAGATGATTTTTCACAATTTCGACATCATTCAGTGATCTAGGCCTAACTCGCGTCTCCGAACTCCGAATATACTAATTCAAGACCCACTAGAAAGATAAGAGAAAACTCCACAACTTTCGTATTTTGGGCTTTTACTGATTCGGCCTGCATCGAAGTCAAATCCGGGCCCGAAGTCGGGGCAATTTCGTAGGAAGGCCCAATCTGCAGCTGAAGCCCAACTCGCAGAAAAGCTTGGCTAAAGCCCAATTCGCAGAAGAGGTCTATTACGAATCCAAGAACAAGAAACTAAGAAGAATCCTTCCAGATCTAAATTCTTGATGTAATCTTAGAGAGATAAAGGGATTGAGTTCATTAGATAAAGAGATAAGATTAGAATTAGGATAGGACTTTCCATTCTTGTAAGATTAACTTCAAGAGGAA